TTGTCAGGTAGGTGCTTATGCTGCTGAGCTAAATCCCCAGCCCATGTCTTGCCTTGTTTTGTTTCTCCCTATAATATAGAAAGGATAGAAATACATGTTAAGACTCATGCATGTGTAGAATCTATAAACAGTTTATGAGAACTGATCTTATGACACATGATGAAATGAACAGATACTTTGAAGAAAACACTAAAATACCCAGTGCTGATCCTGGAGTGTCATAATGTGAAACCCAGCAATAGTATTATTCTTTGTTCAGAGTGATATTGGACTGCTTGGGTTTGTTCAATCTCAACATAATTGAAGATATGGATAACTGCACGTATGTTTAAGTGTGTAGGATTGATAACCATATTTCTAAGTTTTTGTTGGATAGTTGAAAACAACTGGTTGCAATCTCACTGTCTGAATCCCCACTTCATATGCTCCACTTTAGTATCTTGAATAACTATTTGTAGGAAGACAATCTGTAATCACTGTCTTTTTCTTTGAAATTATGTATTGTTTCTACCCGTTTTCTGTTTTGTTTAGTCTTTCTTTAAATTAAAAAAAAAAAGACACTACAGTACCTAGTGCTGATCCTGGAGTGTCATGATGTGAAGTCCAGTTCTTTGTTCAGAATGATTTTAACCTGCTTTTGTTTGTTTAATTTAAACATAAATAAAGATATGGATAACTCCATGTATGTTTAAGTGTATAGGATTGACAACCATGTTATTAAGCTTTTGTTGGACAGTTGAACAGTACTGTTTGCAGTCTTGCTGTTTGAATTCCCACTTTACATGTTCCATTTTTGTATCTTGAATAACTATTTGTAAAATGACAATATGTAAACATCAACTAGTGATTTCTTACTGTTTTTTCTCTGAAAGTATGTATTATTTCACCTATTTTGTTTTGTTTAGTCTTTCTTTAAATAAAAAAGGCCAATATGCAGTAAAAAAATTTAATCCAACAAAAAGAGAATAATAAAAACTACAGAACTCTTAAAAAGGAAATAGAAGCCATCAGAGAATGGAAAGCTATCCTGGGTTCCTAGACAGGCAAAATCAAAACAGTCAAAATGGCCATACTTCCAAGACTGATATAAATGCAATCCCATTGAAAACACCAGCACCATTCCTCATGGAACTAGAGAAAAGAATCTTAAAATTCAAAGATGCCCCAAAAGACCCAGAATAGCAAGATCAATCATGGCAACAAGAGCACAATAGAAGACACCACGCCTCCAGACCCTGATTATAGTACAAATCTGGCTCACAAACAGACCTAAGCAGCAGTGGAACAGAGTAAATGATGCAGAAACAACCCCAAGCATATTTAGCAACCTGGACTTTGACAAAGGAGCTGGTAACATCCTGGAGGAAAGATAGCCTTTTTACCAAGTGGTGCTGGGAAAAGTGTCTATTAGTTACACGTAGAACACTGAACCTAAAACAATACTTCTCAAGTACTAAACTAAAAATGGATTAAAGATTTGTGCTGGAAGGCACAATAGGTAAAAGACAGTCGCATGTAAGGAATTTCTGCACAGAACCCCAGTAATACAAAAAAGCACTATAAAATCAAGAATCAACAAATCCAACTGTATCAAATTGAAAAGTCTCTGCACAGTGAGTGAAACAACTGAGCCTATAGAATGGCAAAAAATTTTTTAGCCAGATGTTCTTCAGAGGACTAATATCTAGAATATACAAAGAGCTAAAAGAAGACCCCCCCCAATAAAAGGCCCAAGCAATACACAAAAATGGAGACAACTGAAGTGAACAGACATCTCTCAAACAAATACAAATGGCTTGTATATGAAAAATTTTCAACATTATTGGCCATTAAAGCAACACAAGTTAAAACAAAACTGAGAATCCACCTTCCTCTAGGAAGAATGGCTGTCATTCAGAAATGAAATAAGAAATGCTGGCAAAGCTGATGGGAAAAAAAATACTTCCACATTGTTTGTGGGAATGCAGATTTCCACCATTACAGAATTTGGCAGGAAGATTCATCCAAAAAGTAAAGCTAGGAATTCAGCTACACTTCTTGTCTAGGTATTTTCCTCAGTCAGACAGTCCAGTACAATCACAAATGCGTATCTATGTTTATAGCAGCACAACTCACATTAGCTAAATCTTGGAAGTAGCCTATATGCCAATCCACAGATAAATAAAAAATACAGTGTATGGCAACTATACACAACGGAGTACTCTCCCCTGAAAGACAATGAGTCATTTGTGGGAAATAGATGCACCTCGAAACAATAATGTTAAGTATAATAAATTTGATAAACTTAAAATATCTTATGGTTTCTCTAGTATGAGATATAAAAGGAAGTACAAAAGATAGGTAATAGGAGTATGTGAGCTCTTTTGCAAATGTGAAGGGGAGCAAGATATGGGAAGTAGAAAGATGAGTTACGTACATGTACCAAGGTCCAAAATGAATGTAATCATGTACTGCGTTTATCAATAAAATTTTTAAGGTTAAAAACAAATTTTCAGACAAAAGGATTGGAAGATGAGAAAAAGAATCCCTCATAAAATTCAAATCCAAATCCAAGAATAAAAAATGATTCGATGATATTACTGCAGTAGACATAGTAGTTGTGAACATTATCTTAGAGCCTGATGGTTAAGATCTGGGCCTTGGAATTAGGATAATCCTGGCTCTCCTTGTTATTAGCACTATTTCTGGTACCAGTTAATCTTTGAACTGAGATTTTCCCCCTAAAAGAACAAAGTTCTTTTAAGACTTCTAAAAATCAGGAAATGAGAATATATGCAAAGTATTTAACAGTTTCTTAGCAGAAAAATACTTTACACATGGCAATGATACCACTGTGATAGCAAATAGTATTTTATTTAAAAAGTTTCCTCTTCAAGAAAAAGTATTTAGAAATAAATTATCTTAAAAACAGCTTTTTTGGGCCAGGGATTTGGCTCAGTAGTGTAAGCACCTGCCTGGCAAGCACAGGGTTGTGTTTGATCCCTGGTACTAATAAAAATAAATAAATCAAACAAACTAAGCCTTTTATTTTGTCCTCTTTCCATGTAAGCTGATTATAGCTGTAGGGCTGGCATATATTTTTAAAATTTCATGTAATAATCCTTTCCACAAATTTATAATTTAAGAATTTATAGAAATGTTAAGATCAATTTATTTCACTGATTTAAAATTTAAAAATTGGTTTTCTATTATGGCAAAAAGATTTGAGCCAATTTTCACTAATTCTTGAATTTTCAGGTCATATAAAAGGCGTAATACGAGCCCAGTTCTTAAAAGTAAACAAGATTTCTAAATGTAGTATTTGCTAAGAACCTTTTTACTTGCTCTTAGCACCTCAGAGCAAATACTCACTTCTTTACTTCTACATAGCAATTATGTACACCATGGGCACTTAGCAAAGACCATGGTCTCCTTAAAAGGATTTAAAATCTTGTCCATGTTTGCAGTGACCTCTACTGTTCATCTCTCAAACAGCAAGTCCATACTACTGAATCTCTCAGGTTATGAAACTTATAGATGACCTCATGAGTGGAAATAGGACTTTCTTCCTCCTTGAAAATTAAGTCCATCATAAATAAATGGCTTTAGGGCAAGACACTGTTTTGTACAATGAGGTTAGGAGGGTGTGTGGCATGCTTAGTGGGAGCTTGTGGCAAAGGTTTTTTCCCCCTGACAAAAGATGACAACTGCTTGTTACTAATGGCATGTAAGGGCAGTCCAAGCTACAGAAGCCACACCCATGACCATGAAATAACCAGAAAAGCAAAGCTGAAGATGATTGAAACACAGAAAAACAGAATCTGGTCCTTGTGAACAAGTCACTCAATGGGACCACTTGAATTTCTTATCTCCAAAAACTTTGAGACAGGGTCTTGCTATGTTCTCCTAGCTGGTCTTTAAAACACCTGGGCTCAAGTGATGCTCCTGCTTCAACCTTTCAAGTAGCTGGTACTGCAACCATGTGCCAAAGTGCCTGTTTCCAAAATTCCTATCAGGCTGAATTATTCTTATGGTTAAAACCAGTGTTAGGCTTTTACAAGTGACTATATCTCAGGTATACACTACACTTACTGATCAACTGTCCTATGTGTGCCTGGTCTCGTGTAGGACTCTAGCTGCTATTCTCATTCCCGTATCATTGACGATTCTAATATACTTAAAGCCACACCAACAGAGTCACTTTCTTTTTGAGATTTGTCTTATGATTAACTTTTTAAGTGTTGTAAAACTCTTCCTTTTATGGTTGCTTCCACCTCTTACCAACTTAGGGCTTCACAATAGCTCAGTGCCTAGCAAGTACATGGTCCTGTGGGGGTGGGGGAGAGAAAGAGAAAGAGAAAGATGAACCCTATCCAACTCAGGCTTCTAGTTCTGTGTGAACAGTGGGGTACCACAGACCCACAAAGATCTTTTACAACTGACTAGGGTGTCTGACTCAAAATGTCTTATTCCCTGGGTACTGATTATAATTTCAAAAGGAAGTAAATTTTTATCTCAGATCCTAGTTTCACTATTTTGCAGAAGATGAAATTTTTGTGTTTTCCAAAACCATCTCGATTAATAACCCCACTTTTAGTTTAAAAGTTCAGTGTATTTTTCATTTTGCTTCTGGTTTACAGAAATGCCTATATTACACTGGAACAATGCTGAACTTTTAGATTTTCTATTATTCTTCTATTCAATGCTGCAGACTGACACACCTAGGCTGACTCCCAGGCTTTTAAAATCAAATATTTACAAAAGGCAATTTTTTTGGCACAACATAAAGCTCAATGGTATGTATCACTCGTAATTAATTCTAAATGAACAGGTAAGTTCCAAAAAGTAAAACCTGTGTGTTCTTGAACAATAGCAGAGATTAGCAGCACTCTTTTACCTTCATGATGACTTTACCTACTCCACATTTCACAAGATCAACAGGTATGGTGTTGGGTCTATTTAAAAAATGGTATATCGCCTATGTAAAACACAACTCATAAATCACCTTAAAATCCAGCCAGTTTAATATAAAATGTTTTTAATTGTTTTTGAAAACATTTAAAAAACAACTTTGAACACTTTTAATAAAAAAGAGAACTGAAATGCTACTGCAATATTCAACTACTGTAGTTTCAGCAGGTACAACAGACAAAACACTGGGGGAAATTTGACTTTCTGCACTAAATGAAAACATGAAACAGGGCTTGTTTTTGTCATTTATGGTGTAGTAAAGCACATTGCAGAACAAGACTATTATTTGAACCTCAGATGCACTGCACAAAAAACACTTTCCTTCTTTTCAGTTCAAAAGTCAGTGCTTATTGCAACTATATGCAAAATTATTTACTTCATGAAGTCTCATCATGATAAACAGTATGCAAAATGTTTTAAACATGAGAACAATGAAAATAATCTGAGAAAAGAACATACTTGACAACAACTAAGCAGAATTAGTAAACATAAAGTAAATAACTTGTGAATAACTATGCTTGTCTGGTTAACACGACCAGTTTCAATACAGCCAAGAAAAAAAAAAGTGGTTACAGGAATACCTAGTACTGTACAAGATAAGTCAGTAACACTCATGCACATTTGTGATCATGTATTAACATGGTGAAGCAAACTAAATTCTTCCTGCTGTAATATTCTCATGTAAGAGAATAAGAAATAGAAATATCTCATTGAGATCAATGCACATTGCTACATAAGACAATTGTATCTGTCACTTTGATGACATTTTGTCTTTTCATAATGAAACACATTTAAAAAGTTTAATCTGTGGACTGTATTGGTTGCATTTATCCTAAGAGATGTGCCTACCACAGGTTCAACAAATTTAGTGCAATATATGAACCCCAGAAAGTTTGTTGGACGAATTCAATCAAATTGAAAGAGTTTGCTGCAATACTGTACAAGGGATTAAAAATCCTCCAGTCTTTGTGTTTTTATCAAAAAAGATTTCCATTATTTTTATGTTAGTAGGAAGCTAATAGTGTAAACAAGGGATTAGAATGGCCTCAAAATCTTTTCAGAGTATCTCATATAGAAAGGCTCCCATCATTTGTTAAAAGAAATCACACAGTTTCCTTTGGGTATTGCATACTTTGGTGTGCAGTAGTGCTGTCTCAGATGTACAGTGAGAAATAACATCAAGGAAAAAAAGTCCTTAACAGATCATTAAATCAAGAAAACAAACACAAATGCCAATGAACTAGCACATATTAAAATATAAATCTCTGATCAACCCTAGCACCATTTATTTATCAAAATGTTAAATACCCTAACTTTCAAATTTATTGAGCAATGAAACCTTATTAAATTAAACCCTTCATTACATATGCTAAATATTCATTGATCATAGTTTTCTGAATAGTTTATGAATTAAAGTAAAGCTCAGCTGGTCTAAAGTAGCACAGGAAATAGTTTAATGTTAGCTTTAAAAGTTTAATGTTTTAAAAACTCTTTGAAACTAATCTTGAAACTCATTTAAATGGAGCTGTCAACTACTGAGTAGATGTATGTCAACATGAAATTCATAAATATTCATAAAACAAAATGGGAGCCATAGAGAAACATTTTAAAACAAATCCTGAGTACTTTACAATTTTTATCACAATAAATAAATTATTAAGCATGTAATAAAACGTTCCTCTTCTTCAAGTACTATTATTATCCCCTTTGTTTTAACAGAGATAAAAAGATTTGTGGCTTCAGACCTTAGGTGGTAAAATGTTTTCTGCTCAGGTTTTAATGTTACCTCCTGCCTGCCTGTTTTTCATAAAGATCCCATGATCAAATTGCACGACTATATTCAGGAGGAACAAAAGTCAGCCACTAAATTGAGGAGGAAAAAAAAATATATGTATATTATAGTGAAAAAAATTCAAAATAAATCTTACATAGAATTCTATTTAATACAAAAATGCAGCTGTTGTGGTGAAACTAAGAAAATGTTCTTATTTTCCTTCTAATGCCCCATCAACTAACGAATAATACATCAGTTTTCTAAAATGTATTTAATTCTATTAAATTACGATATGTGGAGTTATGTGTATGTCTATGTATGCGTTAGCTCCACATTTAAATTAACATTTTAAAATCACACTAATGCAAAGTCACAAATATAAATGGCTACTTATTCTTCTTAGAAATTTTAGTGCAGCTTTTACTTTCCTTAATACTTAATTTTCCATTATTCTCTCCTATTTAAGCCCTTCATTGTGGGGGTAAATGGTACTAAAACCCCAGAAAGTTCTAGAGATTTTTCATCCTACAGTAGCTCTATGCTTCAAGCCTAAATATTTATAATAACCTGAATATTATCTGTTTTAAGGAAGACCCTCTTGCCTACAGTTCACCTTAGCTATGATTTCATATTTAAACATAATGCCAACGGTAACAACAAAATAGCCCCCACCCTAAAACTGACGGTTTCTTCTAAATTCTGCGATCAAAATTGAAATAAACTTATACAAAATAAAGATCTAGACTGCCTTTGTAAAAGATGGACGGTGGATTCTGTACTAGCAAACAATGTGATTAAATGGGGAAGGTTACAAAATTTAAAACCTAATACTTCTACAGCCTACTGTCTTCAGAAACTTGTTAAGAACTGAGGCAAGTCTAACCATTTCCTACTGAAGAAACCACTTCTGCAGCAAACGCTTTTCAAATGTCACAATTAATATTAAGTGTTTCTGCTGCGGGAGGCACTTCCATTAAGACAAATACAATACATATGTCTTTAGATACAGTGTGCTACATATTATAAAACACAATTTAACCCAACATTTCAACAGTAGGATGGTCCTTGCTTTCTATCCATTCAAAACCTGATGAAGTCATAGAGTTCATGGATTCACTGCAAATTTGTTGAAATAATGGGTCATTCTTTAATTCTTCCAGTGTAGCTTCATCATCTTGTCCCTGCTGACGCCCTGGATCAAACAGTAGATTTGGGTCTAAGGTGTTCAAATCATTGATACTGCCTGAGAGGTCAGATGACAACCTGATATCACTAGAGAAATCAGATGCAGTATTGGTGAGATCAGATGCTACCTGACCTACCAGCTGTTGGCTGGTTTGCAAATTGTCCCCACTCAACAGGTCTTTAACAGTGTTACTGAAATCTAATTGTTGCTCTCCAATTTCAGATTGTGCTTGATTATCTCCAGGAGAAAAACTGATCTGATCGGTGCTATTACTTTTGGTGAGGTAAGATGGTGTTTGAAATTCATAAACAGAAGTGCTGGAATCAATCATATTCTGTGAGTTGGCACTAGGAAAAACAGTGGAAGTTTCCAAAATCTGTGTGAGATTCATCCGGGCTGTGTAATTAGAAGGCAGGTTGTTCATTCCCAAACCTCTTACTGCATCATCGTTGTCAGAATCAAGTTTACTCAACAAAACATTGGTTATTTTTTTACTATTTGTTTGCTTTTGAAGAGCATTTGGGAAGGCTGTCTGCATCATGACTGTCAATGGAACCGACTGACTTCTTTGAGCAATGTTGTTGGCACACGTATCTGTGTGAACATTTGTGAAAACATGGACTTCTGGGGTTACTGGACTTCCAAAGGGGGTCACATTAGATCGTGGGATATTAGATACTGGATAGAGAGTGCTTCCACTAAGATTACGTTGGCGATGGACCGCAGGGCTCACACTCCGGCACCTGAAGTTGCTGCTGGCAGATGAATTAGTTCCTTTATTGTCAAGAGGGGCAGGAACTGCAAACCCTTCCTGTTTGTTGGTGTTATTTACAGTGGCACCTTGATGCTGCACCGGAGAGACAGGAGTCAAACGACCAAAATGTGTGTCATGATGTCTGGATTGAGACTGGTAAGACTGTCCAGGCACAGCAAAAGCATGAGGTTTCCTGAAACGGTCTTCCACCAGTTCTTGGTAGCTTGGGAGAATGCCGTGGCCAGAAACTGACGAATTGCCAACTCCACTATACCCATTATTCATCCATTCAAGCTTGGTTTTATCAGGGTGTGTGGCCATAGGTCTTTGCATTGGTTTCACAGGACTGCTTGAGACAATGCTGGCATCATGATATGCCATACTGGAGCTTATTGGGGTGAATGCAAATGGATTCCTGCACTCAACAGGGCTGGGAGGGACACTACTGCTGCAGTTTGAATGTGGAGTACCAATGGGTGTGTGTCGGCTACTTCCTAAAGCACTATCCACAGGTGTGGTCTGGGCTAGCCTGGAGCAAGGACTCTCCCGTGACAGACTCTGAGAACCAGCAATCATTTCAGATGTTGGGGTTGGAGTTGGTGTTGGTGTTGGGGTAGGAGTGGGAGTGGGTGTGGGTGTATGGATTGGAGTGCCATTGCTATGGATTGGATGATAGAAGTGAGTGCTGGAGGCATGAGAAGACATTGCAGCTCCTGGAGTCACTGACTGACTCTGAAGAGCCATTCCCAAACAGTTACCATAAGAATGGGAATTGTTCATGGACATTTGCTGTTCCATAAGCACCAGCTCTTCCACAATACTGTCTTGTGTGAGTTCATCATCAAAAGGAAAGTAGCTTTCATTTGTCTGGGAAACAGAAGGCTCGAACTCCTTCAGTTCAGACTGCAGAGGTAACTGATCTGAAGACTGTGCTTGTATTTGATTCAGAGAAGGTTCTTGTATCTGGCCATGGAGCTGTTGGTTATACGTGTCTTGTGGCATTCCTTCTAATTCCCAAACTGACTTCTCTAAATCATTGATATCAGGGTGCTCTGGAATTGCCATAACACTGATATCCTGCTGTTGTTCACAGCCGGCAGATATAAACTCAGAATCCTTAGTGACTTGTGGCCATTCATTTGGATGAAAGCTGATGTCTGATTTTGAATCATTCTCCATGAGAAAGACACTCCCTTCAAGTTTTACTTTTGTATCAGGAGATGATGATGGTGTCTGCTGTTCCAGAGCTGAATCACTGCTAGTAAGAGTAGAATTCAAGGGTTGATTTTCCACCATGTGTGAACTGACACTAACTGATACTTTGTTAGGAACCGGAGCACCTGCTGCTGATCGTTCTGTTTTCCCTGAATGTGGAACCTTCTGGTCCTTCTTAACACTGCCTGGTTTCTGACCTTCTATAGTAACTGCAGAAAGCTGTTCCACAATTGGTTTCTTCACAGGAGGCACCTGGGACTCTTGTAATGTTGAAGACAGTCGTTTTCTTGGACTTCTAGTGCATAATTTAGGGTCTTTATTTATTGAGTCACCATGAGTTGGCGAATTGGTGCTGGTGAAAGTTAAGTTCTGAGTATCAACTGAGGGCATAATAGTGCTCTGATTGCTGCCTGCTGATGTACCTGGCAGAACTTCACTACAGCGACTTTTACATTTTGTCCTCTGGTCACAGACCTTAGTTGCTTTTACTTCAGTAACACTTTCATATGAAGGTTTTTGCACTCCTTCATCTGTGTTACTTTTCTGCCCCAAAAGGGTACCAGATGTTGTTTGGGGAGCTTTAGCTCCATCAGGGTTTTCTTGGCACTGTACAGGATGCTCATCAGACGATGCTTCGGGTTCCATTTTAACTTCTACTGCGGATGTCCCCCTAGTGCTACTGGTCTTGGGTCCAGGAGACTGAAGAGAAACAACAGAACCATTCTTGATCTGTGGAACACTCCTTGACTCTTCTGCTGTCCCTGGAGCACTGCTGACCGAAGCAGAGTGTTTAAGAGGGGCACTGCTGTTGCTGGGAGTGAGGGAGATGGTTGTCATTTTCACCACATTTAGAGAGCTCATGTGTGAGGCGGGCACCACGGCAGTCTTGATGGGACTGCTGGTAAAGAGGACGGTAGTGGGGGAGCGGATGGTGAGGGCACTGGTGTTGGCAGGCTTGGGTAAGATCTGAGGGTAGCGATGTCGAGCAGAGCGGTCTCCACCAGGACTGGCTGGGATGTTCTGAGGTGTCTTTGGTGCCTGCTTCACAGACTGCATGTGCTGTGTGACCACCTGCACATTGAGAGGAAGAACTTTGCCATCAGAAGAACTCATTGGACTTGGTGAAGTTACCAACTGTCTTGTCCGCTGGACCTATGAAAATGCAAAAAATAAAACATTAGATTTAATGAGTTTATGATACACGTGTTAACCTGTATACCTTTCAAGTATTAAAACATTTATTAAATGCCAATATTAAAAAGAAAGATTGTATGCTGGCAGAGAATTTTTTTAGAACAGATCCTATGCTATCAGATACACAAATACAAGAAATGTAAACAAGCAACATAATTACAAAAATATAGTAATATCTAAGAACACTAAGATACTTTTCAGTTAACATACTAAAAACTTTACATTTGTGATGAATACTTGGTGAAATAATGATTTAAAGAATTTATAAGAAAAGATAAAATTTTAAGATATAAAGTATCTATCAAGCAGTCTGTGGTAAGAAGAGAACTCACTGAAGGGGAGTCAGTCTTGTAGATGGGACTACATTAGATTTAACGAGTTTTATTTATTTATTTATTTAACTGGACCTGAGTTACTGAACCATGGTGGCTAAGATCCCAGACAAAGCTGCTGCCTATGCTCACTAGGTATTTCACATTTTAATATGATGCTAATACCTAATTACGATGCTAATAAGAACAAGAAAAGTAAGATAAAATGTCCCCTTAAATATGTTGTAATAATAACATAAAGTATCAGCTTACTTTAGCAGGGTGTATTCTCATTTTAAAAGCTCATTCACTATAACCTCCACTGTGTGAGACAGGCAAGATAACACAAACAGAATGGCGAGGGACTTGCCTAATGTCCTCCTCCTACATGCAGCAAGCCACAAAGATAGATTTACCGTATCATCTATATACTGTATATTATAATTTTTCCATCTAAATGTTAACATTTAAACAAAACGTACATTATATTTTCTTATTTCAGCAAGGCAGGACACAATACAGAAAAAGTTATCCTTATATAAAGCTCTGACTAGTGATAAGTGTACTTTACATATATATATCCTGGATATTTAGACCTTTACTGATTGTTTTATAGCTTTTTTCGTAATCAAGAGTAAAAGATGGCTTGGAAATCTGTGGTCACCAAGCCAGTTTATGATGGTACCTACATGTCTACCTTCCTCCTTCTCAACTGGCATTTTTTATCTTATTTTTTGTAGGTACCAGAACCCAAACTCAGGACCTCACACCTGCCAGACAGGTGTTGTGCCACTGAACTATATCCCCAGTTCAACTGGCACTTTTAAATTATTGATTTCCCCAGTAAAACCAAATACTATTTAATATAATTACCGGAATGGGACTAGGGACAGCTGCTACGACAATACCAATGGGCTGAGGAGAAAGGATTGCAGGGTTTCCATTAGAAAGATTAGTTACTCCATTGGCTGTAGTGCCTTCTGATTTTTTTGCTGAGGACTCTCCTGGCAAAGGAGACTGTAGTTTCTGTTCCTGCTGCTTTTTTTGGATTTTCCGTTGCAACTGCTGTTTAGCATCAATAGGAGATGGCAAAGTCTTCACTTGAGGCTGAAAGGAATTACTTTCAGCTGTAGGTATAAAAGCAGAAGGCTGGGTAATTCCTGTAATTCCTGAAAATGAACAGAAAAGGAAAATATAAACACTCTTCTTTAGAGAAAGTGACATAACTTGCTTTCTTTAAATATTAAACCATCTACTGGACAAAGCAACCAAAATAATTTTTAACTCAATGTCTTTATAAAGCCTCATTAGACTTCCAATTTATAAACATTTGTCAATATGATTTTGACATGTTAAAATATGGCCTAGCTCAGTTTTAGTTAAATCAATAAAGTATCTATGTCATAAATACGCAGAAAAAAAATCATCATTCCATTTGATCAGCTGTCAGTAAATTTTCCTATCCTCATCTCTAAGTAAAGATTCATGCATTTTCATGACTTTAATATTCAGCCCAGAAGGAACACTTGGTATCTGCTGAAACCACTCCGTATCTTAGAAAAAATCTGTGTGGGGAAAACAATTTTTTTCATTCCTACCAGAAAACCATAGGTATTTAAACTGCTACTGAATGATTATTTCAGTGTGACCTGAAGAAATTAAATATAATTTCTCAGAATAATGTTAAGATAGTCTGAAAATTGTCATGAAGTTAATTTTTTTTAAAAAAAGACTAGTAATATACACAGAAAAGGAATAAAATCCAGTAATATATAAATTTTAGCAATAATTATGTAATCAAATTGATTTTTTAAAAAGCTCACTTAGGGAGTGAAGTGGGTTTGTTAACAATATAGGAATCCAAGCAGCCAAACTGATAAATTTGGAATTAAATTAGCTGAGCTGAGCAACCACTCATATGGACCCATTTCTGAGTCTCACCGAGTCGCCCTAAACTGGAAAGTTACAGAGTTTTTAAAACACAGAACCATAAAAAGACATCCTGTTGGAAACAATTTAGCTAGACTCTTACATTAATTTTTGGTTGACACCTGTATCCTGCTTTGCTAAGCAGGTTAATTTTTCTCTTGTAGGCATAGATAATATACCCTGAGTAATTTTCCATTCTTTTGGGTCAAATACAGGGCACTAGTTAAATGTAGGGCTCAGTTATGCCAAAAGATGGCGTCAGTTATGCCAAGCTACAACAGCAGGGGCATTAAATAGAAAGTCAGTTGTGGCCGTGACCACAGGGGAGGATAACACCAGCCTGCAAGTACATCTGCCTTCTGTCCCCAGCTCCACTTGTGCTTCTCATCATTCTAGATAGTGGCAATGACCTGGTGGAAGTTGGGGAAGGAGGACTAGGAAAAAGAGAAAGAAAAACTGTAAATCTCTCCCATGTACTCACTGGGCAGGATCCACAGTCTTTTGCCTTCTTTTCTGTTTTGCCTGTTACTGGGGAATGAACCCAGGGCCTTTGCTAAGTAACTAAGGTGGCCAAGCCGGGCCGCAATTAGGAATGCTCCTGTTTCAGCTTCTGAGTGCTAGGATAACAGGCATGTGGTTCTCTTTTTAAAAATTACTTCAGTACTTTTTTTCATTTTACATCCAGCTGCACTGTCTCCTCCTGGCTCCAGGAAGCTTTTGCTTCTCACCACTTGCACCCCAGAGAACCCTGGCTCACAGCCTGGATGTCTGATTCCTCCTGCCAGGGTTTCTGGCAGCAGTGAGTTCCAGGCAGCTGACTTACAAAAAGGACATTTGTAACACAACCTGTTCTCAATGTGGAGACTAGACTTATTTTAAAACACCAAATCAAAACACAAAAACCCACCAAATTTGCCTTCAAAGAATGAAAATTAATTTGCAATCAAGTGTATTTTTAAAAAACATAGTAAGGGTTGAGAACAAAATTTCAAGAGAGGTTTAAAAAATGTTTTGAGTAGTAATACAATTGGTAATATGATGAGTCTGTCTGGTAATTGTTTTCAAAAAGAGAAAACACCTGTTTATATAATTTAGTACTTTTGATCAAAAAAATTTATACTTACACCTTAAAAATTCATTCAACATCTGAGTCTGATTTGTGAATGATGTGGGAAGTAAGAGAGATGAACACATTTTTTTCCCCCTGCTTCCCAAATCCTCAATCTGCTGAAGTACCCTTCTTGGTATCAGTAGGAGCAGGAGAAAGAAAATAAAGTAAGGTGTGGGATCTATACCTCTTACAACCTTAATCATCCAGAACACAAGAATGCAGTATGACACAACTGAGTGAATCTGGGCTTCGGAGGTAGAGAGGAATCAGATCCTGGTCCTCTCCTTACCTACCCATGGACAAACTACTTAACTTTCAGTTTAATTCCTGACCTGAAAACAGACAAAATATCACCTAACTGCAAGATTGCCAGGAGAATTAAATAAAGTAATGAACATATGTGAGCTGCCTAGCTACATTCAAGCTGACTGAGCTTTCTCTTGCTTGTAACTCAACGACAGATTTAGGTCAAACACAGTTTACATGCAGACAAAAAATTCATACTGGCTCTTTAAGAGATTATTTTGCTGAAACTGATCCTTAACCACAATACAAGAGGACAGACTACACAAAACAGATCCCCCACATATGGTAATTCTGGCCATAGATCTATGGTAAATTTAAAAATATTTAGGTTTCACGCTTGTACGAATCATTTAAAAATATGCTTTATGGTAATATACCTTTCAGAGAAATAATTTTCTAGGCAATACACTTTATTCACCATTCTTTAGGTGAAACAAAACATTATAAATTTCCATTTGAACTTCATATACTGACTAATTTAGGAAGAAGCCATTTATTACAACAATGCTGGTAATCCCTGAAACTGTCAGTTCCAAAATTCATCTTTGAATTAACATTCTCTTGTTCGGATAATGTTTTAAAAAATCCTTCATGGTATTTTATAGTCATGTTTCAAGCAGTTTATTTTTTGTAAGACAAGTAAACTAGTCTGGGTGTCCAAAGGTCATTTTACTCATAAACTTAGTTTCTGAGACAGGAATTTATTAATGTAATTTTAAAATTCAATCTTACTTTACTTCTAGTGTTTCATTAACATCGGTACATATACTTAATACATATAGATATATTTTTAAGACTTAAAAACAGCAATGGAAAAATTAATAAAACATTGACAATGGAATCCAAATAGTTTTAAGATTCTGGTATAGCAGTACAAAAATATAGCACTAAGCTCTATAATGAAAGGGTTATTACTGTTATTTTGTTGGCATAAAAAACCAATCTAAATTTAGTGTAAGGTAGAATAAGAATACACAAGTACTATAAAATGGAGTCTCTGGCTGAATTCCTATTTTGTTACACCTTGATAGAGGCTATAAGGAAGCTTAACAGGGACTTCGTACCTGCTGATGCTGCTGCCATTACAGTTAGAGCTGCTACTGATTTCGTGCCTATATAGTGACTTTTTACAAGGAAGCGGGCTAATTCCAAGACTGTGTCAAATGGCTGGCTTAACACCTTCTGGGCCCACTCACACACAAGACGACAAGCAGAAGAGATAACTTCCTCATCAATATTTTGAAGCTGCCCGGAAGGTTCAACTCCTTCCAACTAAGCAAAAGAAAAGGGGAAAGTTAACTTTTTCTTTTCCAATCAGGTTTTACTAGTACATTTTAGGTATACATAATGACCACATTCATCCTAGAGAATCTGTACCTGTATATAACTTGTTTTTGCTTCGCCCCCATTCCCCTATCTTCCCTTTTCAACTCCTCCTCACCCCGCCATTTACAACAGCTTTGTTTCCATTTTTTCCTTCTTTTCTCATCTGGAAAAGTTAACTTTAAAAGCTTTTCTAACATCAATACAACAAACTATATTAATATATATTAATAACTATATTTTTTCTTCTGAATACATTTTTTAAGAGAAATTAAGATTTTTTATTAGTCTATGTTTGTGATACATAATAATTATACCCATCTTGGGGAACTGGCACATACACATTGTATCTTGGTCATTCTTACTCCTTCACTCCTAGAAAACTGAAAGCCAGCCCCTGTTCTTGGATAAGCAGAACATATATTGTCATAATGGCTGTAATATCAAAAATTATAATATAGATGTAATGCAATTCTGATTAAATTTTTTATACAAATTACGTATCTACAAATACGTAGCTTTAGGTCTCTGTTCTCCCAAATTTCATGATGATGTAGCTCACTTATATGAACATCTTTAAGGCAATGTATAACTTTTTTGTTTGTTTACTTTGTAAAAGGCACAGCTCTTGCTTCCTGGTTTTATCCAAATGATTTTACAGGATACATTTGAATGTTAATAGAAAGGTACAATTGTACATATTGAAAAGAAATGGCAGAATGCTTACCCCATCTCCAGTTTTATGAAAATCAAGATTGGGCAGTGTAGGCATGTGAACAAAAGCCTTTTTTCTTAGTCCACTGTAGCAATACGTAATAAATAGTTAAGGTCTAAAGCACTCTAAATTAATGGACTGCCTTCACAAATAGGGACTTGAAAAGTATATATGAAAACCATATATGAAAGGAGAATAAAATTAGCATGAGATAACATACACTTTCTAAATTCTTCAGTCCAAAAACCTTAGTATTAGAAACTTGGAATATCTGTCTTAAATGAAATAATTCTCATCTGTTATAACTTTTATGAATAAATGTTCCTAGTATGCAGGGCCGGCCACCAGTAAGGTCAGAAGGAAAGGAATAGCCAGGTGGAAACTTGGCATGAGGAAGGGAAACTTGAGTTCAGGGCACTGGGACAAAAACAACTCCTAACAGTGTCACAAGGGCTTTAACCTTTTCATTTCTTTTTCCATGAAACACACAGGATTATCACCTATAACATGCCAAAGACACATCAAGACACTTTTGTTTATATTTATGAAACAATGACAGGTTATCCAAGTGGCTTATGAACACCTAGAAATAGCTGAGAAAAGTAGCCTTCTTCCTCTCAAATATTCCACACGGTAGGTAATTTTCACGCTTTTGAAAAGGCCAACAGCTAAGCAGAGAGAAAATGAACATACTTCTGAGAGACCCTCTACTTTACAATCTTCTTTTATGAGTAGAAACAATCTTAATAAATCTTTATTTTTATTTCCTTACTTCTGTTTGTCCCCAAGTATTGCTCTATCACAAAAGAGACCTCTTTTATGCCTTTGCTTTAATTCTAAAATAGGCTTCAAGAAGTTGGCTGAAAAATAAAAGTGCACCCTAGTTTTTCAGTACAAATTTCACAAGAAATTTTTTGAATATTGTATTATTAGTAGTAGTTTTTTAATCAAAGAGATCTGTTTCTAAATTAGAAGGGAAGACGCTAACATCATTCTCTCCTTTTATTGATATAGTTTACAACTGCTGAATACATGGAGTATCTAATTCTTATTATAGCAAAGTAGATCAGACCATTAATAACATTTTACAGTGACAGAGACAGATAGTCTATCACAATCCTAATAAATACAGGAACTGCTCTTTGCTGTCTCTTTTTCAGTTTGCTAATAGCTAGAAAAGTAAGATTTCCAATTAGTCTACCTAGTACTATTTATATCTGTTGATTAAATTTATTTCTAAATATAGTTGCCAGCTGAAATACAATAGCAAATGTTCTATACGAAGTAGGAACATGAAGAGATTAATAGTAACATTCCAGTAAAGGATATTTAGATTTGCCTCTAGTGCCCAAACGACGTGCCTTCATGTTTGGGAAGACATTTTTCATGATCTTTCCAAAGTCGGCAGCACTTAATGGATGGTAACCAAGATTGTCACAATAGCTCCTGCAAAAGAAGATGGGGCCAATTTAGAAATGTGATAGAATTCGGCCTTACCTGGGATTGTGCTACTTTCAATACAATTTGAATCCTTTGATGAAGTGAAGCAATGGACTTTCATGTCACTCATCACAAATGACAGGATCATCACTCTTTAGAGACGTGTTAAGTCAGATCTGGTTAGCTGATTTCACCACTGTCAAGGTATATGGTACTGCTTTCAATAGCATTCAAGAAATCTGCAATAATAAGATCATGTTGGTACAAAGATTTTAAACCTTGCTTTAAAATGAGTATCTGCAATAGGGATATTAAAATTTCCACATATGTTATCAGGCCACAAACCAGGATAATTTCCAATACAAACATTATACATGTTGAACATTATTGATGGAATGTCATTAATTAATTAATTTGGTACCAGGGATCAAACTCACAACCATGTGCTTGCCAGGCAGGTGCTATACCGCTGAGCTATATCCCTGGCCCAATTTTTTTGTTTTTTCTTTTTTTGTGATAGGGTCTCACTATACAGTTCAGGCTGGCCTTGAGCTCACTTTCACCCACAATGATCCTCCTGACTCAGCCTCTTGGAGTGCTGGGATTACACACATGTGCCACCACACCCAGCTGGTTATAAATTTAGAAACATGATGTTAGAACTAAAAGGGATCTTAGAGATCATCTGCACCAGTACTACTTTACTGATAAGGTTAAAAACAAGGACACAAAGAAAGAGGTTCTAGAAGTCTACTGTTTTCCCCTCCTCCTAACATACCTTTAATTTTGTGAAAGTTTAGGGCTAGAAATGAATCCAGAAGTTATACACTTCAATTACTTGCTAAATATAGAGAGGGTCCTACTCTGAGGTCATGGATTGTTAACCTCAATGTGAATGCAGCTCTATGTTGTAAAGGAGCCCACCCAAACTGCAGGAATGCTTGCTCTTAAGGTAAAGAATTCTATTATGAGAGCCTTTTTCTCACTAGGAAGGTTGAGCTACCACATGATTCTGTTTTATATGCAACTTACAAGTTTTCAAGGGATAAGTCTTTATATAACTTTCAAACCGGTGCTTCACCACAAGCCATAGGTCATTATTCCAGGCCATCTGGAGTTCCTGGTTAGTTTACACCTCATTTCCCTTATTTATAGCATTAACCGCAGTTATCAAACAAGATAATAGTATCCACTCACACGCAACTCAGTGTAGATTACATTTATGCAACACTCAACACTGGGACATTAACACCACTGTCATTCTTAAAGTGAATTTTTCTTCTTGCTCTTTATTTAAAATTATAGTTTTAAGATTGAAAATAAGCCAAATTTTCAATACAACTATTAAAAAGCACTCAAAATCCATGGTAGCAATGCTATCTTTAGTTCTTTTTCATAATATTTATAAAATTAAATATATAAATTTAAGGTAAATATTTAATGGTACAAAATAAAAACAAAACAGAAAAGATAAAATACAGCTATATGATACTGAACCACAGCTGACATTTCTGAGTATTTTTAAGTGTTACCTCATGTCTCCCCAACAACTTGAGGCAGGTATTTTTATTAAACTTATTTTGTAGCTGACAAACTTACATATAGAAGTATATCAGGAAAAGATGTTGTTTGATCTAATTAATTTCTCATGCACGAGATACTTAAAGAATGCTGATAACTGGAATATAACCAAAATTACATAATAAATTTTTTCCTAATATTTATTAAGAGAAGAGTTCATTAAAAACTATCATTTTTCAGCTGGAAATGATGGCCCTTGCCTATCATCCCAGTACACTGGGAAGCTGAGACAGAAGAATCGTAAGTTCAACTCCAGTGTGGGTAATTTAGAGACTCTGACTCAAAAACAAAAGTCTAGGAATATAGTTCAGTGAGAAAGGCTTTGGCTCAATCCCCAGTAGCAAAAATTCTAAAACTATTAAAAACCCTCTACTTACCTATACCTGCACAATTATTTTAGTAAGGCTCAGCATTCATGTATGTCAATAAATAAGGACTTTAGGAAAGTCCTGAATATGTAGTAGAATTACATTCCCTTTAAAGTACAAATCAACTAAAACATTTGCTAGATAATCTGGAAGACAAAAGCAATAAAAGAACAATGGCCAGCAACACAAATCTTTTTACTCTTTTAAGGTGTTACTAGATTCTGAGACATTGGAAAGACAATTCTTTGAAAGTGCTGGACCTTAACCATGAAAATTTGTCTTTTTCATATTGTTCTCGTTCTGAGTACACAGTGCTAGCATTTGGCAGGGACACCTGAGGACAGCACACAAGTGATGGCTTGGTATCCCAGGGGCAGCCTGGCTAGAAAAAGACTATGCTGGGTCTAAACTGGGTGTAGTGGTGCATGTCTGTAATTTCAGCATTCCAGGAAGATGAAGCACAAGTACTGTAAATATGAGGACAGCCTGGGCAACTCAGTGACTTAGACCCTGTTTCCAAGTAAAAAATAAGAAGGGCTGCGGATGTAGTTCACTGAAAAGGCCATGGGTTTGATCCACAAAAACAGAACAAAAGAGAGAGGCGTAACTCTGCTGGTTACTTATTCTAGTTTAGAACCTAAATGAGAAATTTACAGCTGTCAGCACTATTAAACCAAGCTTAAACTAAGATCAAATACCACAAGCATAAACCACCTACTGTAATACTCATTTTTGTGATAATCATACAATGAATGATACAGTTCAAAGTCTGTTTAAAATCAACAAAACTAATTTAAAGCAGAGTTAATCATGCATACATAGTAGGCAAGTGCTGCACCTATTTCTTCATACACAGGTCTTTCCTTTCAATTTGCCATTCTGTCCCATCATTTAATTGAGTGATCCTATGAAAACATTTATCCATTGTCAAGGATCTTTTTCTGAAGGATATGGACCTTATCCTAAAATTGATAAATTACTAATATAAACTTCAGGGATAGTCATCTGATAAATCCTCAATATATTAAAAGTGCAATTTGTGTCTTTACTTAATCCAATTAAAAAGTAAAGTATAAAAGAAAGACTTATTTACTCACTGTTGCCAATAGAAGAACTGTTTAATGACTATTCTTCGGTAAGTTTGGCTTGTTTTTTAAGCAAAGTTAGAGATATACACACAGATATTAATGTGATAAAAATGTTGATCACATGCATGTAACACAAGCTTATTTATAACACTTTGCTTTCATTTCTAGACTGTCTCAGTTCTTTTTAAAATTAACAACATATGCAGTGTTCAGATTATGTGAGTAAAGATATTAACCACCTGTAAATTAAGAATTAACAAGAAGGAGGCCTTGACCCAGTGAATTCCACAGTAAAGACTTCCTCCACAAGAAAAAATCCACTGTGAAAAGTCTTGTCCTTAGGGAGATAAAGTGGGGATAAAGTTGTCAAAGACCATTTTAGGTGAGTGTATTAAATTTGTGGCTGCTGAAGACTACGGATAACAGTCAAGGAAAAGAAACTAATTGGGAAGCAATTAGTTTGCTGGGAAAACAAGATGTCTGGAGATGGTTTCGACAAGCTTAGCATATTCCTGGGGTCCCAGAAAGCCACACAGATGCAAACGGCTGTGGACATGCTCCTGAGAAGTCCCTATGTTCTCACCTTTAGCTAAACTTGAGGCTTCTTGAAAGCAGGAAGTGAAAGCAGTACTGAACTGTTAAGACTGAGGGTTAATACTGTATCCCAATACACACTTTAGGCAAAGACTGGGAGATTTACTGGTTCCAAATACTTAAGGAAATCTGTACCTAATGATTAGCTGACCAGAGTAAACTGAGTAGAGACTTCTGCAGGCACACAAAACAACGAACACAAACCTTGTAACTCAGAAAAGGGACAATTGCTACAACAAATAGCAATAACCATAAACCCTCAGCAGGGAATTGGATTTCTAGAGTACCTCATTACCTAATTTTAATGTCCACTCTGCAACAAAGAATTTTTGATATGCAAATAAACAAGCCATGTATCTTGGATTTTACACAGGAAATAAAATAATCATTAGTGAGCTGTGCTTGAAGCCTAAATGTTAGACTTGCTACATACTTTAAACAAGCTATTTTAAATATGTTTGAAGAGCTAAAGGAAATCGTGTCTTACTAAACAGAAAATGTCAACGAAGAGAAATGCACATGAATAACGATTTTATATAAAAATGAATATATGATTCTTGAGTTGAAAAGTACAGAAACTGGAAAAAAATTCAACAGAGGGTTTCAACAGCAAATCTGACAAAAAAATCAGCAAATCTGAACATAGGGTCAATAGAGATTAACCCCATCTGATGAACATAAACAAAAAATAAAAACAAACAGCCTCAGAGATCAGTAAGATACAATCAAATATCAAAATATACATAATGAGAATAGAGACAGAGGTCAGCAGGAGGAATATCAAAGAAACAAGAGACAAAAATGTCCTACATATAATACAAACATTAAATTATAAATCCAAAATGCATAACATGCAAACAATAAAACTCAAACAGACACACAATCATTATCAAACAGCTGAACACCAAAGAAAAAGAGAATAGCCTCAAAGAGAAGAGACTCATGATACACAAACAGCTTATTTCTTGTGGGAAAACATCAAGGCTAAAAGGCAGTGAGATGACAAATAATGCATAGACTGTCAAGAATAAATTTTGTACACGGCAAAATAAACTGTCCTTCAAAAGTAGGTTCGAGACATTCCCAGAAAGACCAGTAATCAGAAAGTTCAACACTAGCAGATCTGTTTTACAAAAGCAAAAATAAAATAAAATAAAATAAAATAAAATAAAATAAAATAAAATGAAGGTTGTCAAGGATGTAGAGAAAAAGCAGCTCATACATTCTTGGTGGGAATGTAAATTAATAGACATAGTGAAGAATAGCATGGTGGTTTCTAAAAAATTAAAAAATGTATCTTCCACATGATTTAGCTGTTAGCACTGGCTAAGATACAGAATCAGCCTAGGTGTCCATGAACAGAAGAATAGATAAA